GGGTGAATACATCTCATATTACTGATTTACTGGTAGTCACGAAAACAATACTCAATTCGAAAAATAAAAGCAATAGAATAGACAAATATCGTAAATAATATTGAACATCACCAATAAATTAATTACTTTTTAAATAAACTTATTAATAACATAAAAAAATATTATTGTTACTGTTATCCCTATAAAGATATCAATAAATTAAGATCAAATAATTTCGTTTAAGGTGATGAAGGACTGGTAGAAACGTCAGCTCCACTCATATCATTGTGGGAAAATTCTTCTTCTACCAGTCCTTCATCACTTTAAGCGAAATTGGGTGAATACATCTCATATTATTCTACTGCTATTGCTATATTAATAATATATAGCTAGTATTATTATTGTTCTTTCTTCACCAATTCAATTGAACCCATTGTACCATCAGCTAGCATGTGCCAGTTTAATGTATATGTGCTCATCTGTCCGTTTCTTTGTGTGCGCCACCAAGAACGCGCACACCGTACTACACTCGGCGGCAGAAAAACTCGCATCTGCCGCCAACACCCGGTGAACGGGCGAGCCGATGCATCGCCGACCATGTTGTCGTCTGCCTATTGACACAAGCGGACGCGCCACTTCTGGGTCTTGCTGCTTTCGTGATGCCGCTGCGAGCAAGTCACTTTCATCACGCTCAACTGCGTCCGATAGTGTTGCTTGGAAATCAGGACTATTTGGAGCGCGAGTGGCCCAGTCTGGCCAACTTTCCCGACATTTACGTGGTGCCCGGAAGTCCATTGAAGCGAGCCGATTTGTACTCGGCCCGATTGAGGCATTGTGCCATCTGCGTGGTGATCGGATCGCGAGGCATATACGCAGCCTCGGACGACCACTTCATGCTGGACAAAGAAGTCATCCTCTGCTCGTTGAATATTCGCGCCATGAAATTCCCCGACTCCGGCGTCCCGGCCGCCAGCTCCAGATGGCAGCAGCCGATGCACCGCAGCGGCGCCGACATCCCCTTGATCACGGAACTGATGATCGACGCCAACATCCACTACCTGGATCCCGACGACAACGACGACAACGCCTCGGAAATGGCCATCTACCTGACGCCGCCGTTTGCTCGTGGAATCGCCTTCACCGGCTCCGTGCTGGACGCTCTCGTCAGCACCGCCTATTTCGACCGGAACGCCATGACCGTCATCCGCCACCTCGTCACGGGCGGAGTGACTCCCGCGCTCGAACAGTTTCTGGCCGAAGGCGGCGCCCTCGACGGCGAATTGGAGCTGGCCGGCGCCGAGCTGCGAACTCGCCAGACGCCGATGGAGTCGCCGGAAAGACCATCGACGACGGCGACGGCGATGGCGACGGCAAGTCGCAAGACGACCCGTGACAGCGAGCCCATCCTGACGGAGGTGTCGGGCGACCCGATTCTGACGCAGGCTCGCCAGCGGCCGCGAGTCGACCAACTCGCCCTGACCGACGTGCGTCTGGGCGGACCCGAGGCGAGGGACAGACCGGGCACCTTCGGCGAGCTCTTCTGCAAAGCGGTCTGCGAACGTGGCATCCTCTGCCTGGGCGTGTACCGCCTGAACCCGACGGGCCTTTTGGAACACGCCCATCTGGAGGCGGTCTGGCAAAACGAGCTACAGACCAACGCGTCGGCCGCCGGCGCCATGGCGACCGGTAATGTGAGAGCGTCGGAGTCGAGTGAGCGGTTGACGGGCACTCCTCAGACCCGCCGACTCAGCACCTTCGCCACGCCAATCGAGGTGCGCATCTTCGAGCGCTCTCGTCTGCGTCGGCAGCAGACGGCAGATGCGGCTGGATCCTTCAACCTGCCAGACGGATCCAGCCTCTCCGAGGTCTGTCGGGCGGCCTCGATCGTGCCCACGGACTCGATCGAGGCATCACCACTGCCCGTCTGGAGGGAGAGACTAAAGCGTCTCGAACTGGCCGGCACCGAGTTCCCATTGTCGGTGGTTAATCGTTACGTGATCACCAATCCGCCGGTAGATTTTGCTCTGTTCCCCTCAGATCTGGTCTTCTGCCTATGCCCCTTCATACAAGTGCACAAAGACTTTTTCACCCCACCCATCGATTCATAGCCAATGAACAGACACCTCTTCTGGTCAGCCAACTCGCAGAGCCTCTCGCTCGTCGACTGGGCTTCGTGTAGCCAAATTACACTTTTTCAATACTCCAACACACACACACACACACACACACACACACACATACAGTCATCCTAAATGACATACAGTCTCAAGTAATTATGCTTAAAAACTGGCGTCAAGTGTTCGCTTTAAGGCGGCGTGGTTTACAAAGAATGAGGCCGGCATTCGGCACGCCACCAACTGTTGCAGACAATTTGTGGATAAATGAGAAAATGTTTGTGCGCAAACATGTAATTCATAGCAGTTAGACTGGGGTCCTGTTGGTGGAAATTCTTTCACATACAGTTTGATCTAATTATTGCGGCAAAAACGAACAGATAAGGACAAACAGTGATGTCCGGGCACTCACCGTCAACAACCTGCCGATGCAGAATGGAGGCGACTGAATATCCTATCCTGAGTTTTCTGCGCAACCCTCCTGTATAGCCTATATGCAAACTGTTCAGTCTTTCCTCACTTTCATACCACACACATAATTGCCTTCAGGTCTGTCTCTCAGTGCTCATAGAAGAGGATCCAGGGCTCACAAGAGTGCCCACAGTTTGGACCGACCAGTAGGATTGTCAAACCCACCTTTCTCGAACGGACTCCTTAGTCAAAATGACCGCTTCTTCACTGCTGAGAATTCTTAACATTGTAGCTTCATGACCAAGACTTAGGCACATTTCTACGCGAAGAGCCGAAGAAACAAGTCTTTTCTCATGTGGAAGCTGCGGCAGGCCTCTAGCAGACTGTCCGCGCTTGTACACTTATTTTTTGACCGTAGAACTTCAGAATAAATTGTAACCTTCTTTTAGCAGAGTTTGCTCAGTTTCCCAAAATTTTGATGCCTTTTAGCACATTAAAAATGGGTTCGGATTCGCACCGGAACCTCACTTAGTCGACTTTTTTCAAGCTTACATGCGATTGTGAGGGATTTTCTCTCTCTCTCTCTCTATATATATATATATATATATTTATCTCTCTCTCTATATATATATATATATAAATATAATATTAACTGACTTCGTAAGATGCTTCTTTAAGAGCATTGTTCTGGAAACAGATCCGACAAAGGAAGAAGACCGTTTGTTAAGTAATTTGTAATATAAGATGTATTCACCGAATTTCGTTTAAAGTGATGAAAAACTGGTAGAAGAATTTTCCCACAATGATATGAGTTGAGTTGACGTTTCCATTGAATTTCACAGAGCCTTGCTTTCCCAAAATTTGTTCTCATCCAGGGTGGACTGCACTTTCGATCTCACATCGGCTATGTGAAATTCAATGGAAACGTCAGCTCAACTCATTTCATTGTGGGAAAATTCTTCTCATACGAGTTTTTCATCAA